GAGTGGACCAATATAGTCAATATATGACTCTTTGTAGGGAGGTACTAAATGGAGTGGGCCGATATTACCCATTTTTACACTTCAATTAGTATCAATAAAAATATTAGATTGCACAAATTTGGATTTTCCTCCCTTTTTGAATGAGGTACATTATTTTCTGTGAAAATGTTGACCTTTTGTGGAGGAGGTACCAGAAAGAGTACACCAATATTGTCCATCTCCGAACTCGATCTAAGTCTGATATCTATATTACGATGTACCAAGTTTTGACCTAATCGGATTCTGGTTTCGAGAGACCAGCCAGATGGACGAACGGATGGACGGACACCCCCAGATCGAATCTTAATGTCCTGAAACGGATTTAGTCCAAAAAGACGTAGGGTCTAAATGATAAATGCTCTATAACCATGGTATAAAAAGCTATGATCTTAGATCGATCAATCTTACAGGAAATAAAACAAGTAAAAAATCACCTAAGTTTGGCCGTTCCGAACTTTTAATACCCTCCACCATTACGAAATTTAAATACGAAATTTGAAAAAATTCCGGTGAATAATGTCGCTAAAATAATATATCATATATATTGAGGAACATCGTTATATGGCGGCTATACGAAGACATGGGCCTGCAGACGGGGGCTATACGAAGACATAGACTATTACGAACCTTAAATACGAAATTCCAGTCTTTAATAACTCTAACATTATAAAAATACCGAAAATTGGGAGGTACCGTTTTATAGGGGCTATACGAAGACGTGGAGCTGCATAAATATTTTTTTCATAGGCTGTAGTACTCATTAGGACCTTTAAAAATGCGAAGTTTAAAACAATTCCGTTAAATGACGTCAATAATATCATCAAAATACCGAAAAAGGGAGGCACCGTTACATGTGAGGTATACATATCATAGCTTGAAGTATCCATTACGAACTTTAAATACGAAATTCGAAATAATTCCGGTCTATAATGTCGTTAAAATCATCAAAATACCGAATATTAAGAGGTACCGTTAAAAGGGGGAGGAGAGCTATGTGAAAACGTGGACCGACATTTTCCATTTACTGGAAAAATACACATGTATGCGAAATGTTACCCTTCTATCTCTATTCATTCGAAAGATAGCGTGATTACAACAGAGACACTAATCAAGAATATATACTTTATTATGTCGGACATAGGTGTTTCGAGGAGTTACAAATGGAATGACAAAGTTAATATAGCCTTCATACTTTGCCATTTATTAAAAAAATACAAAACAAACAAACATTTCTTAAAATTAATTTTTATTTACAATTTTCATAAACAATTTTTAAGTAAACCCAAAAAATTCTTTGGAATATTTATCCGACATGTTCCACATTTCCTTTCTCTTATTTAAACGAAAAAAACGAGAGAAAACAAAACAAATATATGGTATAATAAAGTGTTAATAAATCCCTAATCACAAACAATCGAAATGAAGTAGATCGTGACATATCCCCAATTCACGTCCCAATGACTGTGACCAATAAGCTGGTCATGATCTCAATTCGGATTAGACCACACAAAAGAATATTTTTTTATCTAAAAAAGTTCATTTACACATTTTTGTTTTTGTTTCCCGATGAAAAATTAACATTTTCGTTTCGATAGATTCTTGGGGCAATGTGTTTTTTTTTTCTATTTTTGGGGTCATAAGATCCCATAACAATGAGATATTAGAACAATAAAGATTGTTATTGATATATTGACATTGGGATTTTTTTGTGTTTAGAAATCACTGACGTAAGCTTTAAGGGATGTATTATTTATATTTATTACAAATTATGTTTGAAATTTTATTGTGCAGTAATTTCCACGGGCAGTTAAAAAAGTGCTAGAAGATCAAACTTTTAAAAATCATCCGTGTTTTTATACCCTTCACCATAGTATGGAGGGTATATTAAGTTTGTCATTCCGTTTGTAACACCTCGAAATATACATTTTAGACCCCACAAAGTTTATATATATATATATCCTTGATCAGTCCGTCTATCCGATGTCCGTCCTTCTATCCGTCTGTGGAAATCACTCTAGCTTCCGAACGAAATGAAGTAGATTGATAAAATTTTACTCAAATGTCTATTATGTCTGCAGGACTTTTGGTATTGAAAATGGACCATATAGGTAAACGTTTTGGTATAGCTAGCCCCCACATAATTGCACCTCCCTATTTTCGGTATTTTGATGATTTTAGCGACATTATTCACCGGAATTATTTCAAATTCGGTATTTTATGTTTGTAATGGATACTACAGTCTAAGGCAGAAAATTGTTTGTGAAGGTCCATGATATTCGGTATTTTGACGATTTTAGCGATATTACTCAAATTTGGTATTTTAAGTTCGTAATGAATACTACAGCCTATGACAAAAAAGTGTCTGTGAAGGTCCAAGTTTTGGTATAGCCCATGGTACCTCCCTATATTCGGTATTTTGATGATTTTAGCTACATTATTCACCGATTTTTTCCACGTCGTCGTATAAACCCTAATATAACGGTTACATTCGGTATTTGTAAGATTTTAACAGAATTGTTAACGGATTTTATTTTTTTGAAAATTGCCAAATTAGTTTCAAATGGTTGAGGGTATACAAAGTTTAGCCCGGCCGAACTTTCAGTTTTTTACTTTTTAATATAATCGTCAAATTTTGAATGTATCTGGCAAATACCCAGCTCTTTTATGAAAATTATGAAAATACCCAATTGTCGTCATATCGGACCTATTGCGAAACATGGCAGTGTATAAAAACTTTTATGCCAAATGAGTTGAGTGTTCATTAATAGCTCCAAGTACCAAATTGTATCATATAACGTTGAAAATGTCAATGTAATCAAAATTTCCAATAACGGGAGCCACAGTTGTATATTGTATAGGAAAACATAGACCTGTAAAGAAATTTTTTTCTGCCATAGAACTTAGTTCCCATAAATAACTTTAACTACAAAACTTTAAACATTTTCGTTTGGAAATGACTTAAAAACAAGGAAAAAGACAATAAATTCGGCCGGGCCGAACTTTTAATACACTCCACCATTGGGTAAAGAAAACGTTTTCATGCAAAAGTATCTGGATTCAAACGTGTTCCACTTTAAACTACAAACTCCAGTAAGGTCGGTAGGAGAATGGTTGGTGCCGTTATATGAGGACCATATTAAAACGGGAACCTATATAGACAACGGTTGCGAGTCTTAAATACCAAAGTTGACATAATTTCGTGGATAAATGTCACTTGGATGACAAGGACAAATGTGGGCAATGTTTTGACACCGGTTGTAGAGCCCATTATGAAGTACAAATACCAAATTTCACACTAATCTATTAGAAAATGTGGAAATAACTCGTCAAAATACCGAACATCCGAAGGAACCGTTATATGTGCGCTTTAGGAAAAGGTGGACCTAGATATTCCACGTAATTGCTCCGAAACCAGAACTCATTACTAACTACAGATACCAATTTTTAGACAAATCCGTGGAAAAAATGTGGCAAAAATCATTAAAATACCGACTATAGGGATTTACCGTTGTGTTAGGGGTATAGGAAAACATGGACCTAGATATTCAATGTTTTGCACCGGAGAGAAAACCCATTAAGAAGTACAAATACTAATTTTTAGACAAATCCGTGGAAAAATGTGGAAAAATACTGAATATCCGGACGTCCCATTATGTGGGGGCTATACGAAAACGTGGACCTATATGTACAATGTTCTGCCACTAGAGCTAGAACCTATAACAAACTACAAATACCAATTTTTAGACAAATCCGTGGAAAAATGTGTCAAAAATCATCAAAATGCTGAACATCCGGACGTCCCATTATGTAGGGGCTATACGTGGACCTATAGATACAATGTTCCGCCACAGGAGCTACAACCCATTATGACCTACAAATACCAATCTTTAGACAAATCCGTAGAAAAATGTGCTAAAAACCATGAAAATACCGAATACCGGGATGTACTCTAATATGGAGGCTATACGAAAACGTGGAGCGATATATCTCATTTTCAATACCAACCATCCTAGACACAATGCAAACAACTGTGCCAAATTTGAAAGCTGTATGTCAAATAATGTGAGCTGTATCGTGGTTTCAACAGACAGACAGATCAGATAATGCTGATCATGAATATATACTTTATGCGGTCTATGACGGATATTTAGAGGTGTTACAAACGAAATGACAAATTGAATTCTTTCCAAGGTGGAGGGTACAATGAGATGTATAAGTAAATGATATTAAGTGATATAGCCAATTTTCGAAAATTGTACTTCCTGCTGAAAAATAAAGCTCTTTGCGAACTTTCTATCGTAAGGCGGAAACGAGCAATAGACAGACGGATGGACATGACTAAATAAATTTTCGATTTTATGCTGATCGAAATGATTATTTTGTATAAGTTACAAACGGAGGGAGGGTATAAAAATAATACTCAAGATATAAGAAATTATTCCGGGTTTTTCGGCAACATTGTTACAAAGATGTGTTTTATATATTGGAATCAGTTATTTGATGAATTAAAGTGGAATTCAATCAAGAATATTTCGAATTCATGTTTAGTAGGAGAATTTTACATATAGACGATCTTAACCCTAAAACGTGAAGGTATTTAATATTTATAAACATGTGGCATTTAGGTACCGTAAATAGTTTCGATAGATTTTGAATCCTAAAACAGAATTTTACGACAAAAAAGGGAATTTTTAGTCACTTTTTTTTTAAAAAGGGACAAAAATATCACTTCGACGGCTCTATTTAGGTTAATTTGCAATGGTTACTTTAAAAGCGCCGGATTTTTTTTAATTTTATAGGTATAAAAGTATCGATTACTTCTTCCACGTTTTTCCTTTTCCCTCCTAAACTCATCATTTCACTTCCAAAACCCAATTATTTCCCTCAGTGTAAAAAATATGATTTTTTCGGGAGATATTAATTTACACCGAAATAGTTATCCATTCATACTTTATGCTTACCTTTTCGTTTAAATTACTCCAACAAAAACAAAACTCCGGTGTGGTATCGTATTCTTGCAGAGGATGATGACGATGAAAAATATCCGTAAAGAAATCCAATCCGAATATCCAGCTGGAAAAAAATCGTTTCTCGTCGAATGAACGAAGAACACACAATTCACAAAATTCTCACAAAAGCAGTTAAAAAGGGGTGGCGGTTGTGGGGGGATGGATTTACACCACACAAAATACTCGATACGCACACATACACACAAATATACACTCTCGTAAAAATACGCGGCCAGTTAACTGCGTTCAGGTGAAATGAGAACAGACGAACACCGCGGAGAGAGGGAGATAGACACAATTTATGCAAATTTCAGCACGATTGATTGTCTTTGGTAGAACAAGCAGCAGTAGCAGCAGAATTCAAAATGATTTGTTTGTTTTGTTGTTGCTGATGTTGGTGTCTTACTTTTTTTGGGGACACCGCGATGGGATGTTAAGCCAAGCTAAATCAAAATAACGATTTGTGAATAACGGTTCTAATAATTTGGTAAACAACAAAAGATTTCGATTTTTTTCTTCTTCTCGTTGATGTTGTTGTTCTTGTATGGTTTGGAAAAGAATTAACACTTCGTTTGAAAATCAATTCCACTTTAATAATATTGGATGATTGATACAGGTTTTTCTGCTCGATTCGTACTTAAGTCGTTGTTGGTTTTTGTTGTTCGGCAATTCGCAATGTTAGTTTTGAAGTTTTATTTGTATTTGTTTGTTTTTTTTTTCTTTATTTATTTTTTGATTTCAATTCGAAACACTTTTTTCACTCAAAATGATTCACTGTAATATTTGTATTGACTTGAACAATTTGCAGGCGGTTTTTTTGTTGTATTTCTTTGCATAGAATCAAATGACTTTTAGAAAGCGGTTTTCTTTTTTCTGTTAGGATTTTTATTTATTTGCGCAAAAATTATCCATAGGTTTGAATTCCGGCTTGCTGAACTTTTTGTGTTAGTCGCACGAAAAACAAACCGCACATTTATTAATAAGACACGCCGTTTACCGTTTACTCGTTTAACGAAATTCCACTGATCGATCAATAAAACATGAACTTAAAAGAACACACAAATCTTAACGATCATTCGAAATTTCATTCAAAAATCTAGCGATACGCAGACGTTTAAACTCCTTTACTTGACGCTCACAAACTAACTGATCTTTCTTGAACGACCGACAGTGAACGTACCAAAGGCCTACAATTTTGCACAACTCGCACACATACACATCTATAAAATAAGAAAACTTTATCCATTGTTGCTCCCCACTATCCAAATATCCAAACATGCCGAGACAACAGACTCTCTGGGCAAAGAAACACACCAAAAACGTGTTTTCTCAATGCACAACAGAAACAAAACAGCAGTGACCACAAAACATGAGCAGCAACAACAAATGAAACACATGCTCCACTTCACTTTACCTTATAAGACTTTACTGAGCGAGAGAGCAGAGAGACCCCAAAACTAAAATCCAACCACTCAGAGCAAGTGTTCTCCACTAAGATGCTCTTTAAATTTTTTTTCAACGGACACTTTAAATTTTATCCGTTACTTGAACGGCTTCTCCCACTCTCCCATTGAGTGTATGAAGTGTACCCTCATCTCCCTTTCCGAGTTATAAGAAAATGCATTGCTAAGATTTGTACAAAGTTACATTTTATGTTTCTTTTTTGCTTTTTATGTTTATTTGTCTTTTGATGCATCGATCAACTGCACCATTGTTGCATGGCTACCCACTGTTTATGTCTATTAACAGGGCACAGTGGTTGGAAATCTCAAAAATAGATAACGCATACTTTCAACATATCTGAGCTGAGCCAATTGCAACCAAATTCAGACTGCTGTCATTTCCAAGCCAATCGACCGACAGTTCTTAAAATTATTCCAGTGACAGCTCATTATATTGTTTACAAGCGTACAAAAGCATTTTGGTGAGAATTTTCCAGAAAAAAAGTTATTCGTGATGGAATAGTGAACTCCCGAATTTGTTTTTTTCCGATGAGAAAACATTCGTTGTCTAGCAGTTTGTAAACAAACAAAATGATCGTGTTTACTTGCCAAAGAGGCTAGCTGAAAATGTGCAGCTTCGGCTGGCCACCAGAACTCAAGCGCCGGCCATGGTGATGGGTGGGCCGCCATAACAGCCGGTTATCGCTCTCCGCTCGTATTAATCGACTGTGGCATCAGAATAAATGCCGAATATTATCGCGAAAATATTCTAGAGGGTGTATTAAAGCCTTGGGCACGCAAACATTTTGGCCGCAGATCTTGGACATTCCAACAGGACTCAACACTATCGTACTCAGCACACGCAATAATGGTTACAAAATGAGGTTCCTCGCTTCATTTTCAGCGCACAATGGCCACCAAAATCTCCAAATGCCAATCCGTTGGACTATTGTGTCTGGAGTATTTTCAAAAGCAAGGTTGGCACTAAAAAATACCAAAGTGTCGATCACCTCAAGTAAGCGCTTCGCACGGAATGGGCAAAAATACCGCAAAGCAACATTGAAGCAGTGTGTGACGGTCGTTTGAAGGCCATTGCATCATTGGCCGTTTGAAGGCTATAATTCGTGCCATAGGTGACCAATTCGAACAAATCTAAACTTATTCTAAAAGTTGATGCTATTTCCGACATTTATTGCTTTCATTCAATAATATTAAAAAAAAATCAAATTTCGTATTTAAAGATCTGAATGGGCACTACAGCTTATGGCAGAAAATTGTCTATGCAGCTTCATGTCTTTGTATAGCCCACATATAACGGTATTTTGATGATTTTAACGACATTATTTAACGAAACTGTTTTACATTTCGTGTTTGAAGTTCGGATTCGGTACTACAGCCTATGACAAAAATTTACTTATCTAGCGCCACGTCTTCGTATAGCACCCATATAACGGTTTTCATTTAAACAATACTTTTCGACGATTTATTTTTTTTAATTTTCAAGTTCCTTCCAAATAGTGGAGGGTATGAAAACTTCGGCCCGGTCAAACTGTTGACATTATGCTGATCCATATAAATGTGAATTTTTAACATTATATTCAATTTGCTGACCTTTATTAACATGGATTTTTAAACAATCTCACAAATCTCTCTTGAGCTCCTATAAACCAGGATTTGTCAACATTATTTTAAAGCTATAACTATAACCTGTAGTGGCATCGGCACAGCTGCTGGGACAATAAACTGTCAAACCAATTCTGGAAAATAAATAATGCATAACAAGCTCCGATTGTCGTCGTATAACATATAAAAATCTACTTATTTTTGAAAAAAACTTTTAAAATTTGTGACATATGATGTTCCTAAGCGTTGATGCCTGTATTCATCGACCATAACCTAAGCCCTATAAACATTAATTTTTTTAACGTAGGCTCTATATAAAAAGGTTTCAAACCTATACTGGGCTCTATAAACCTGGATTTTTTTTTTAATTTCTTTCTACAACTGAGGTGTGGATTTTAAACATTATCTTTAAACCTATACTCAGTATAAAAGCCTACAATACCACATAAAGCTAAAGAAATAATGAAGTGTTTAGTAATTTTTTTATTTTTATTATTCTCAAGAAAAGTAAGAGTTTACACTGGGCGACAAAATTCAAATTTTTTCCAATAAATAAGGGGAAATCTCAAGAGATTATGAAAGTGGAGCTAAAATATGAAGATACGTTTTGAAAATTTACATCGACAAAGTAACCAAAATAGGGAATGCCAAGTTCCCTCTCCTCCACACTTTTGGCAATTTTCAGGCTAAGATTCCTTGGAATTCCGTGAATTTTAGGTATGTAGTGTCTTCAGCAATATTGGAGTTAAAAATACGAAGAATATTTTGAAAATGTTTAACCTCGAGCTAGCCAAAAAAGGTCTTTTTAGTCCTTTTCCAAAAATAAAGCAAATATAAATATATAAAAAAGACCAAAAAGCCTTACTCCTCCATATTCCAAAATATCCTCCATATTCCAAGGAATATTGTGGACAGGAGGATATTTGGTATATGGAGGACAAACGATGTTTTTAATCCTTTTATATATTTATATTTGCTTTATTTTTGGAAAAGGATTAAAAAGACCTTTTTGGCCAGCATTTTTAGAATATGGTTAAAAACTATGTGTAAATTTGATCGTAGCAAGTCAAAATATTCTACAAAATTATTTGTCATAAAACTAGAAGACACGAAGAGTCTAAATCTTATATAAAAGTCAGGAATTCATATATATACCTTAACCAAAACGTTTTAGGGTAGAAGGCGTACTTTTTAAGAGTTTAAAATCTTCAATAAAGCATCATTTTAGAAGGATAACGTCAAAGACAAAAATATTCCTCATCAAATTTTACTATAAACTGCTCAAATGTTCCAAAAAAAATATCCGGAAAATTTCCCCAATTTTTTTGATCAACTTTTCCTAGGACTTTTTACATACATTTTAGACCCCACAAAGTATGTATATATTCTTGATCAGCATAAAATTCTATGTCGATTTAGCGATGTCCGTCCGTATATCCGTCTGTGGAAATCACTCTAGCTTCCAAACGAAATGAAATAGGTTGATAAAATTTTACTCAAATGTGTATTATGTCTGCAGGACTTTTGGTATTGAAAATGGGTGATGTAAGTCCACGTTTTGGTATAGCCCCCATATAATGATACCTCCCTTTTTTTGGTATTTTGATGATTTTAGCGTCAATCTTTACAGGAGTTGTTTCAAATTTGAAGTTCGTAATGGGTACTACAACGTATGACAGAAAATTGTCTGTGCAAGTCCACGTCTTCGTATAGCCCCCATATAACGGTAACTCCCTATATTCGGAATTTTGATGATTTTAGCGACATTATTCACCGGAATTGTTTGAGATGTCGTATTTAAAGATCGTAATGGATACTACAAATATTACTGTCTGTGCAGAATCACGTTTTCGTATAGTCCCCTTATAACGGTAACAGTTTTTTCAAACTGTACTATATCGAGGATTTTTTGAAACCAGGCCTATAAACGTGGATTTTTAAACATTTGTAGAATCTGTACCAGGCTCTATTACCGTGGATTTTACAACAATTATTTAAAAATCTACAAACGAAGAGTTTTTAGAGCCTGTATCAGGTGCTATTACCGTGAATTTGTGAACAAGTATTTACAACTTATGCTGAGCTTTGTAAACACTCAAACACTCTTTCACTTTTAAATATCAGTTTAAATCACTGTACATTTTTACTATTTTCATTGTTTTCTTTTAGTTTTATTTTCACTGTTTTTCCATTATCCACGACGAACATGATCGTAATAGATGTGTGGAGTAGTACCCCAAAAAATAAAGCATTGAGACTGAATGACGATGAAAATGTTCGATAGTGGGATAATGGCCTCTTCTATTGAAGACCCCCCACTCCAACCACTGAAAACATAATGCCATTCTTAAAAATTAGAAAAACACTTGTAAGACATGCAGTAAACTCTTTTTTTTAGTCTCTTAATTTTCGGGAGATATTCAGTTCAGGAGATCATTCTCTTTGAATGCAATGCATTTGTAATTGTAAGTCAATATATCTCTTCAAAACAATGCTCTCGTTCATTTAAATTAAAAAAAAATAAGAAAAACTCAGCAGAATATCGAAGCCACATGAATTTCCGGAATGATGATCGAATTAAAAATGCACCTCGAGTGCATACCTAAATAGCAAAATGGATTTAATCTCTCGGAATACGAAATAAATACAAGTTGTATGATGTGCCTACCGCAGACTAAATAAAAGCAACGCCAATTTCCAAGTTTGGGTATGATAATTTGAAATATTTGGAAAAAACACCAAAATATAAGTCTTTTAGTCTAAAAACCAATAAAGAAAGTCCTAAAGTAAGGCGGGGCCGAATTTATGATACCCTACCCCACTTTGCTAATTTTGTATAGCTCCAAATAATAATTATAAGTTTTTATGGGAGAATTCAATCATACAAGCTATGATTATAATTATAATTTAAAGTTCGAAGGACTAAATGTGCCGAAGCATTTGTATCTTTTAAATTCGGACTTGTATTGCCCATTTGATGCAGAATTAATTTGAAATCGGATAAAGATATATATGGGAGCTATATCCAAATCTGAACCGATCTCAATAAAATTTGGCAAAGATATTTCTGAGCTGTATTTGGTATATTTCCCTGAATATCGTTGTTACGGAGTACATATTATGGCTGTGGGTAACAAATACAACAAATCGGATGAACAATATATATGGGAGCTATAGCTATATCTGAACCGATCTTCACCAAATTTGGCATACTACCTTCTAGACTAAATTCGGTCGTATGTGCCAAATTCCATCCTATTTGGGCAAATATTAGGCATTTGGTACACAATAAAAGGTAAATCGGACGAAGTTATATATGGGAGCTATATCCATCTATATATCTGAACCGATCTCGATAAAATTTAGCAAGGGTATTTCTGAGCTGCATTTGATATATTTCCCCAAATATTATTGTTACAGAGTGCATATTACGGCTGCGGAGGCAAAAATAACAAATCGGATGAACAATATATGCGCTATATCCGAACCGATTTCGATCAAATTTGGCATACTTATTTTAAGGCCAAATTCGGTTGTATGTGCAAAATTCCAAACTATTCAAAATTCTATGATTTAGCGATGCCCGTCTGTGGAAATCACTCTAGCTTCCGAACAAAATGAAGTAGGTTGATAAAATTTTACTCAAATGTATACTTTTTCATCGGGACTTTTGGTTTTTAAAATGGGCCATGTAGGTCCACGTTTTGGTATAACACCCATATAATGGTACCTCCCGAGTTGTTTCAAATTTGGTATTTGAAGTTCGTAATGGATACTACAGCCTATAACAGAAAATTGTCTGTGCAGGTCCACTTTTTGTTATAGCCCCAATATAATATTACCTCTCTATATTCGGTATTTTGATGATTTTAGCTATATTATTCACCGAATTTTTTTCCAAGTTTCGCATTTGATTATTGTAATGGCTTAGGACAAAAGTTGCCTATGCAGGTCCACGTAGTCGTACAGACCATAATATAACGGCTACATTCGGTATTTTTAAGATTTCAACAGAATTTTTAACGGATTTTATTTTTTTGAAAATTGCCGAATGGTGGAGAGTATTCAGCGTTTTACTTGTTTTTTTTTTTTTTTTTTTTTTTTTAATCCTTGAATATTTCATTTATTCATGTCGATAAATAGCTAGATTTTAGCTATCTTTTTTGGATGGCGCGTGCTGAGTGCGATGCTGCTGAGTCCTGTTTAAATGTCCAAGGTCTGCGGGCAAAATGTGTTCGTGCCCTCCAGAATATTTTCGTGATAATATGCTGCATTTATTCTGATGCCACGGTCGATTAATATGAGCGGAGAGCGACCATCGGCTGTTATGGCGGCCCACACCATCACCATGCTTGAGTTGTGGTGGCCACCCGTAGGTGCACATTTTCAGCTAGCCTCTTTGGCAAGTAAACACGATCATTTTGTTGGTTTACAAACTGTTGGACAACGAATGTTTTCTCATCGGAGAAAACCAAATTCGGCAGTTCACCACTTTCGGCCAAGTGAAGCAACTCCTTAGTTTTTTTTTTGAGTCTATTTTCTTTCTGTTGCGGTGTAAGTTCTTGCACTTTTTGGAATTTCAATGGCCTTACCCCGAGCTCATAATTCGATATTTGCCGAATAGAATATTGTGATATGTTGAGCTCACGAGCCTTTTTTCGTCCACTTCGACGCGGGTTTCGATCAAGTCGCTTCTTTATTTTTCGACCCATTTCTGCTGATGTTGCTGGTTTCTTCCAATCGATTGCTTGACGTCGTGCTACGCTACCGTATCACAGTAATGAGCGAAGGTACGAGACACAAAATATTTATTCACATTCAAATGCTGGATGCTCTAACGATAGCCACTTGAGGTTTTCCAGCAAAAATAAAGAAATCAAGAAAATCAAACAATGCCACCCAAAATGCTTTTGCAGGCTTGTAAACAATATAATGAGCTGTCACTGGAATAATTTTAACAGCTGTCCGACGAGTGGCTTAGAAATGACAGCAGTCTGAAGTTGGTTGCAGATTTTTCTTCTCATCCTGTATTTTAATTCAAACGAACATCATTTTTTTATAAAAGTTGCTCTTATTTATTTAAAATTATAATTTTTGTTTTTTTTTTTTTCATTTTCATATTTTACATCTCATTTTCAGAAGATATCGATACACACGTATACCCTATTTATTAATTACAAATCTCTTAAGGAACTATATTCGGATTGATCCTCATTTCACGTACAGCTTAAATTAGGAGAATTTTATAAATTTGAATTCCCTTTTAACTGTGGCATCGCTGGATCAAACCGAATTCGCTGAGACCGATGACTCATCAAGTATCGGTACATTGTCCTCGTTTTGGTCATTAATATAGAAACTATCTTCGTCCCACGATACCATAATGCTGGTATTGTCCTCCGACAGATAACCGCTTGAATTGAATGATCTGCAAATTAAAAATTAATTATATTTTTTTTATATTTTTATAATACTTTAGGGTATTCATTTTGAGACTCACCTATCTTTGGCAATGTAGTAGAAATTCTCATTGTTATTACGTGGCTCTTGTGAATCCATGTTGAACTAATTTCTTACCGATTACTTTGAAAATAACACTGTTTTAAAAGATATGTGTCAGCCTCTATTTCCAGTATTGAAGTGTTAAAATGCTTTCCGTAAACCAGTGTTTTTATAGCTCTAACGCAATGCTTTTAAAATAATCTCTTGCATTCAGGTAAGGCTTAGAGGAAGGTATTTCCTTTCTCATGCCAAAGGTGTTTGCTAGCAGGTAATTGTGTCATATTTTATGAAAGGATATTGCCTTCCCTCAAGATAGTCCCTTCTAAACTACAGATTAAAATTCTTGATAAAATCGCTAATCGCCTGTCATAATTAGTACGGTACGGAATTTCACATGAATATTGCATTTCTTGTGAAAAACCATAAAAGGTTTAAAAATATTCAATCGAGTTGATGAAAAATATTGTAAAATAACCAAAATACAGTTGCTGAAAAATACATATGTAAATATGCCAAGCAATGTTAAAAATTCCGAGAGAGACATATCTAAAACAGCGCAATAATTGTAGAGAGTGGATCAAATTTGGAAATGTTGTATCTGGAAAATTGAGGAGTCTCAAGTTCGATCTTGGAATTTTTCTTTCCATTTTTTTTTATTTTCTCATTAATTGGAATGGGTCAAAATTTAAAAACTAAAAAAATTATCTTCCTGGTCCTTTTTTATGTTTTTACCAGATGATGCCATTAATTGGGGTTGACAAAAGGTGTGTCAGGTTACCCTAAAATTTGTAACAATTGTTACAAATTGTTACTGGAATTCGTCTGCTAACCCGAAAGTTCTGCAAAAGAGAGCGAGAGAGAGAAATTTTGACAGTTCTTTCAGTGAGAGTTTGCAAATTCTTGCTGGAAAAATTTCTTCTTGCAATCACTTGCAACTCTTCTTCTTCTCATTCAGAAAGATGTTGCTGGACAATTCCTGCAGGAAAAGTAACCAGACACACCTAAAGCCTGATAAAGACCTGATAGTCTCATAAAAACCACTGAACCTCACTGAGAGTTGTGTTCTCCGTAAAATACTTTTGGTCCTAATTAAGAAGTGTTTGTCTGGACAAAGGCCTGTTGGCACTGAGGTAATCTGTTTGGCTTTATAAAAACTATATTGTCTGGAGATCGACCTTTAAAATGACATCTGGTCTTTAAAGTGACCTTAGGTCTTTAAAGTGATCCTATGTCTTTAAAATGACCTGGCCTTTAAAATTACCTCTGGTGTTTAAAATGGCCTCTGGTCTTCAATATAACCTCTGGTCTTTAAAGTTGCCTCTGGTCCTCAATATAACCTCTGGTCTTTAAAATGGCCTCTGATCTTTAAAATGGCCTCTGGCCTTCGTTATAACCTCTGTCTCGGTCTTTAAAATGACCTCTGACCTTCGATATAACCTCTGTCTCTGTCTTTAAAATGATCTCTGATCTTCAATATATCCTCTGTCCCGTTCTCTAAAATGACTACTGGTCTTTAAAATAACCTCTGATCTTTAAACTGACTTCTGGTCTTTAAAATGGCATCTGGCCTTTAAAATGACCTCTGGTCTTCAAAATGACCTCTGATCTTTAAAATGACCTCTGGTCTTTAAAATGGTATCTGATCGTTAAACTGACTTCTGGTCTTTAAAATGGCATCTGGCCTTTAAAATGACCTCGGGTCTTAATATTACCTCTGGTCTTTAAAATTACCCCTAGTCTTCAAAAGGAAATCTCGTCCCTAAAATGACCTTTGGTTCCTAAAATTACATCCGGTCCTTCAAATGACCTCTTGTCTTTTAAAATGGCCTCTGGTCTTTAAAATGACTTTTTTTCTTTAAAATGACCTCTGGTCTTTAAAACGGCCTCTGGTCTTAAAAATCATTAAACATGACTTTGATCTTTGAAATAACATCTAGTCTGACCTCTGGTCTTAAAATGACCTTGGGTTCCTAAAATGGCCTTTGGTCTTTAAAATGACTTGTGTTTTTTTAAAGTCTTAGGTTCCTCTAAAAAATACTGGAGTCAATTAAGATTTCAAGTATTTCAAACGTCCTCTGTAGTGGAATTCTCTAACTCATTTTTTGAGTTACCGACAATAGCCGGTAAACTTAAAATGCTTATAATTTCGGTAATTTACGAAATTTATCGGTAAGTTTGCGACGAAATCAAAGCAGTCGGTAAGACCTACTGATAGATACCAATTTTTTTCAACTTTAACTTCTTTTTATAACAAAAAATTAACTCGAAAAATGAATTAAAGAATCCCACTACTGTTTTCTATGAATATCTTTGCTCTATATTAACACATCAGGTCTCTTCAAAAATCTTTTGGTCGTAATTAAGTACCTGTGTTTTTTTAAGACTTTCCACTTTTTTTTTAAACCCATCAGTTTGTTCATTCTTTTTGTCTTTATTATAGTCCTTTGGTTTTTTTATATATATATTCTCACATTTATATTCAGTACAATTCTAGGTCACACAAAAAGTAAACTAACGTTACGTATTGCAGTAACTGGAAAGTACATGTAGTTTTCACATCACTCAGCTTTTGCATGGCTCCATTGACACTACACGGCCTGTTGCTGTAATGTAAACATAAATACGTCGTATTTTACCAAAAAAAAGAAAAACAAACGAGTTTAGTATTATATGAAAAAATATTAATTTTATTCATATATTTTGTATTAAAACTTTCCTCGGGAAAGTCAAATACTACCTCAGAAAGAAGTAGACCACCTTAACTATGAGTGAGGAGTTTCGTACGGTGACACGCAAGAAATGGATTGCCCACAAAAGTATAAACAAAAGGACCCGTAGATTGTCGGACAAAGGATATGAGAAAGATTTCCCCGAGGTTGATGTGGACAAGTTTATGGTGTAAGGAATTTATAAACTAAAGAAGATTTAAAACTGAGAATTAACTGTGTTTTGATTCAAGGAAACTAGATGCCTTGCGGGAACGCATGGAAGACAGTGACTATTTTACCCAGGCCATGGTGACACTTAAAGAATCTTTTGCGAAAATCAATTCGAAGGTGGAAGAAAATAGCCCTGCAGTCACACCCAAAAGATTAGTGTGTTTAGGCATTGGACCCTTTACCCGGAACTTTCAAGCCCTCCACCAACTGGCATTTATTTTGTGCACCCAAAGTCATTTCGAAATACAAGAGGCAATATACTTTGATCCTGTATTTCGCCAGAGTGAAAAGGAAATACTGCAAAAGCTAAAATGTCTGGTAATGACAGAGAACTGTGAAGGCAAATATGAAGCTGATGTCTATACGTTATTTTACTTGCCCCATTGCCCCAACTGTTTGACCAACAATCTACTGTGGAGCAATTGGCAACCTGATTTATTATCGAATGTAATATTAATAAATAATAGTTTCGAGAGTTTATCGTGCTCAAAACCAGAACGTTTATTGCGTTTGGATGCTGCCTACATACTCGATATAATGCCATATGGCGAAGAATTGCCATTGGACGATGATTATGAAGTACAAAATATATTTAACGATTTGTCGGTGCATATATTTCCACGTGGTAAGCTAAAATTGGATGACGCCGCGTTTTGGACGAAAAAGGAGGCACCAAAGTACAATGATAATGATGGGGAAATGATTTCTGCCGAAGATTTTGCTAAATTAAGTATAGCGTAAGGATGCATAGGCAATGTAGGAGTAAGAAGACAAAAATTACAAGTTTTGCTATATATTTTTCTTGTTTTTTTAATAAAAATATTTTTAATGTATTTTAATATACATTTGGTTTGTTCTTAAAGGTATATGGACAATATTATTATAAAAATAATGCTATTAATTATCCTAGCCAATGCTCTGTTCCAGAAACTGCAAGAATCTAATAATTTTGCAATTGTTTAGGATATCATAAAGGGAAAATCGGTTCTCGCAGTAAAAACTCGTACATTCTTGCAGTTCCGGAAGAGACTGATTATTGTAAAATAATTGATTTAAAACAACAATGATGTGAAATTTCCACAAATACAGGCTCTTGGTTCTTTGTTGTTGTTTCGAAATTGACAGAAGCAACTGTGTAAAATTCCATAACAAAGTGCTTCCGATTATTTATACCAGGAAGACATATCTTACTCAACACAACAAAATGAAGGCACAGTTTTTTTAAAACATGTATTCCAATCCAATTGATATTGAGCTTTAATTTTAGTTCTACGGCCATTATCAGTAACTCGGGAATTACATTCCGAATTTAGCTACCAATAATCTGCTGATCGAACTCGATTTCCCGCTGTAGATCTTTCTCTTCATTGTTCTGGTTTAATTTGCGTTTTATTCTGTTTTCTCTTTGGGTTTTCTTCTTTCGAGCTTTGCGCAATGCAGATAAACGGTCCTCAACTGCTTTCTTTTTCTTTTCTATCTTGTTTAATATACATTTTCGATCATTTATGATGAAATCATTGGCATTGCCTTTTTCATTTTTCTGTAACTTCTCATGTCGCCACCTAGCCATGGGTCTAAAGGTGCAAGGTATAAGCTTGTGTTGAACATGCATTAAACTACAAAGATTATCAGCTATGGGTAAATAGCTTTGTTGGGCCATAAACAACAATTCCGAGGGTTCGGTTTTAAGCAACTGATGTAGGTGAATGGTGTTCTGTGTAATTTCATCCGAGGGCTTGCAAAGCATAAATTTATCCCGAAATTTGGGATTGAAACGTAACATATAGTGGCCGCAAGGCATTTGTGTTAACAGGTTTAGGAATTCATAAAGATTACAAAGTAGCTGTGGTATTTGTATATGATACATGGTGGATAATTGAAACTGTAGTTTATCCAGAGTCTGCGATTCGGCTAGCAAAGTTTGAAAATTGTTTACATCCAAACGATGGCATGTACTGGATGTTTTATTCAGTAATTTTAGTTTGAACCACTCCCTGAGCAATTCATACTTTGTTTGTAGTTCACAACCAAATGTCGGTTTATATTCCAATTTAATGGAATCCTTTGTGAGATTAGTTGGAACAATTGTGTGGATACTTTGTATCAAATCCTTTTCTTTGGCCTTTAGCTGCCATTTGCAGTTGGTTTGAGAAAATTGGCAATATTTCTTATCTCGTTGGCCATATGATTCCATATATTCCTCAATAGTTTTTAACTCATAGGGAATATTGTGATCGGAATTAGGAAACACTTCATTTTCTTTCTCTTTATCTGTCTGGTGTTCCGAAATTCGACTGAGATAAGACATGGCAGCTTGCTCCGCCACTTGTTTCCATGTATGCCAGCCCATTTGGCGTGGAGGCAAGGGTAAATCCATAACTAAATATTTCTGATCTGTATCTCTTTCCTTTATGTCTAGCAACATTTCCATGGGTAAGTCCAGATAATCTCCTGCCGTTAAGAGAAACAATAATGAATCAAAAGGTATGAAGTATAAGGGGAACTCCTCTGCAGCTTCTGTTGACTTTACAAAATCATTCTTTGCTTCCTCTTCTAGTTGCTCTCTACGGGACTCAGAATCAACAAAATCTTGGCAATACATTTCCAATTTTCTTTTTATATTTTGCATATTCATTTCCTTATTGCTTAACATGTTCACTAATGGGTCCACTTGAACTTCAACAATTTCTGCCCATTGTTCCTTTAGGGCATCCTTACACACCCTTAAATGAGGCAAGCCCAAATGTGTATTATACGATACCTCAGGACATTTCTTCAGTAACCTCTCCGCTTTCCTGCCATACCATTGTTTATATAAATCCATGAGCTGCCTTGCCGGGCTATATATCAATTCTTTATTTGTTTGATTATATTCATAGACGAATTTCTGGAATTGCTGTGTCTCTTTTAAACATTTACTTTCCATTCGATGCCATATCAGATAGTCATCTTCTGCCAATTCTGTACCATCCTGACGCGCCTTTACCACTCTCATTCCAATACTATGCTGTGCACCATTTAAACATGATGCTCGTGGAGAATGAAATGCTTTTGTGGTCAGCGTTGTGGTGTAATCGTATACGATGTCTGTGACCAACTTTTGGTTTCGAGGATCAACAATTGTAACATTTTCAAAACACCTTTTGTCTGCCAGCTGCTGTGGCTCCATAAAATGGCTCTCGATTTCATGTAGCAACAAATAGACATTATCCTTAGGATCAGCAATGGATTTGTTGAAATATGTGTAACTCGGCTGATTCCGGAATATGGCATTTACACGGGGGCAGGAGTTGTAATCCATGTTTAGTAGTTGGATGAAAGATCCAAAGATTTTCCTCCCAACCAGTGGAACAAAAACAAGCAGTCTTTTTTGGGTAAAAAACGAATGTTGTGTTGTTCTTTATCAATCTATAAACAAACGGATTACAAAGCTGCCAGAGCAAAACCACCGCCGTGGTGCCAAAGATATGAGAAACAAGACAAGAAATAGAGAGAGAGATTTGGAGTTGCCAACCCAAAAATTATGTAGTGAAAAAGCTATTAAGAAGACAATTGAATGTGTTCATTGTTTACATTAGTGACCGTCTGCAAGAAAGATAATACATATTTCTATGTATAATTGTCAGCAGATACAAATTTACAGCCAGTTCCACGATATCGAAAGAACACGTTCGCACAACTTTTACACGACAAACAGCTGATTTCCGTTCCACTAAAATCCATCAGAACGAAAATTTGCACGAAAATCAAAGCGAACGAAAACGTAAGCATTTCAGTGTAATTTTGCGTTCCACTATCTTTTTTCTTTCGTACGCATGCGAACACAAATGTCAAAATCAGTCACTTGTGTGTTTGCTATCGTATAATAACAATTAAGGAAAATTGTTTTAACATAAACATTGCTTGATTCAAAATAGAAACAAAAAGGTAAGTAAAAATAATAAATGCAATTTAATATGTGAACAACAAATATATATTTTTTTATTTTCTCAATTCCAGCACGAAAAAATCATCAACTACACAGCTGCGGGTATATGGAGGAGAATCCTGTGTTCGCCAGAGGAGTGCCAATTTTTGGAAGCAGCAGAAGAAGTTTTAAATCGGGGCGGATTTGGGTAGTTCTGCAACCGGGCACCCACTTCTCTTCCATCATATCCAAAAGAGCCCGAAAACTTGCTTCGACACACGAAAATTGGCCACAAACCTAGAAAAAATCATTTTTTATTATTTCAAAAATGTAAAAATACAATCATACTTACTGGTTGTTAGGTACTTCAAATAAATTCGAAGCATCTCTTAAATGCCTCCGTGGCACATTTTGAACCTCCTCCACATCATCCATAAAAAATAGGGCTACGGAAATATTCTTTTTTTTTATTTTCTAAGAGCACAAATAGTTTGAACACAATCACTAGAAATTTTATTTTGTTTGTTTATTTACAATTTGTTTGTTTACAACTGAAATGTCAGTTGAGACAGAGCCACTGCTGCTTTTTCGCGTTTAAATTAGACATTTGGCGCTTTTTTTGCCTTATTTCGCGATTAATTTTTCCAAAAAAATATTTAGCAACACTGAATCACGTAAGGCTATGCGAAAGAAAGAACGAAAGTTAGTGGAACGCATTCTTATACGAAAGTGAGTGAGTAGCCTTCGTTCGCACAAATTTTCTTTCGAGATCGTGGAACAGGCTGTTAATTTTTTATTGTTGTTAGAATGCAAAGTGTAGCAACTGGCATGGTAAAAGAATACAGGTAGATGCATCAACGCTAGGGACCATTAATATGTCAAAAAAAATTTAATGTCTTTTCAAATATAAGTAGATTTTTATATGATTTCTTATACGACGTCATTCGGAGGTAATTATAATACGCATTTTTCAAACATTTTTTCAAATTTAAATAATTTTTCATTCAACATTTTCAATTCCAAAATTGGTTGGACACATGGTACAATGATATCAAGGTAGGGCTATGATACCATATGATTTCAATTTTTTTATTTTCTTGGCTTAATATGTCATATTTATTTGTTTATGTAAGTGTTTTCTTTTCAATAACAAAAAATTGTTCAGAAAACATTCAAATTCGGGTGTTTTCAAAATGTTTTTTTCACGTATGCATCGACAAAATCTAGAGTTTTTGTAGCAAAATAATCCTTTAGAGATATATAGAACCTGGTTTTGAAAAGAAGTGTTGACCTTTCATTCAGTTTTCGCGGTTTTCAATTATTTATTCAAAATAAATGCAACAAGTTGTTTGAATTTTTATTGTTTTGATACTAATTCTGACATTACAAGCCAAACAGGTAAACCTCTATACTTGTAATTTTTTCAAAGTTGACCTACCTTCTCTTCATTGTACCATGGTTGGACAGTTCATTGTCCCAGCAGATGAATCGATGCGTCTACCAATATTCTCCTACCATGGCAACTGGTCTGTTCTAGAATTGCAAGAATGTAAAAGTTTTTACTAAGATAACCAATACCCTCTATGATATCAAAAAAAATTGCAAACCTAGGATATTCTTGCAGGTTCAGGAACAGAGCAAACGTCTTTGTCGAATGATATATTTTTGTCATGGTAGAATAATACAGGTCAGCCGATGACTTATGTCAGTCAAAAAAACTCTTTATGTACGTCCACCCATGGTACAATGAAGAGAAGATAGGTCAACTTTGAAAAAATTGCAAGTATAGAGGTCTACCTGTTTGGCTTGTAATGTCAGAATTAGTATCAAAACAATAAAAAATCAAACAACTTGTTGCATTTGTTTTGAATAAATAATTGAAAAACGCGATAACTGAATGAAAGGTCAAAACTTCTTTTCAAAATCATGTACTACATATCTCTATAGGATTATTTCGCTACAAAAACTCTAGATTTTGTAGATGCATACGTTGAAATAAACATTTTGAAAACACCCGAATTTGAATATTTTCTGAACAATTTTTTTATTATTGAAAAGAAAACACATACATAAACAAATAAAGATGACATATTAAGCCAAGAAAATAAAAAAATTGAAATCATATGGTAGTTCTGCCCTACCTTGAATTCATTGTACCATGCGTCCACCCATGGTACAATGAATTCAAGGTAAAACAACTTGTTGCATTTATTTTGAATAAATAATTGAAAACCGCGAAAACTGAATGAAAGGTCAACACTTCTTTTCAAAACCAGGTTCTATATATCTCTGAAGGATTATTTTGCTACAAAAACTCTTTGAAAACATCCGAATTTGAATGTTTTCTGAACAATTTTTTTGTTATTGAAAAGAAAACACTTACATAAACAAATAAAGATGACATATTAAGCCAAGAAAATAAAAAAATTGAAATCATATGGTATCATAGCCCTACCTTGATATCTTTTGTACCATGCGTCCACCTAAGCCATCGGCTGGCTTTTTCGTCAAAGAACAAAGGGGCAGGGCCAAAATCGAACTAAGTAAACCTAAAACTTCCAGTCAAAAGAGCGTTTTATGCATCCTCACCTTTAAGCCAGTTAAATAGGCCTTTTATGTATTTTCACCATAAAACTTATTTGTTATTTCACAAAGCAGCCACCTGATGACCTGTCAAAAAAACGTTTCATATATTCTCACCTTTAAGCCAAGCAGATGTACGCTTTGTTTATTCTCACCTTAAAACTCCTTCAAGAGGATTTTTTTATTATACACTTGCAGCCAGTTCCACGATATCGAAAGAACACGTTCGCACAACTTTTACACGACAAACAGCTGATTTCCGTTCCACTAAAATCCATCAGAACGAAAATTTGCACGAAAATCAAAGCGAACGAAAACGTAAGCATTTCAGTGTAATTTTGCGTTCCACTATCTTTTTTCTTTCGTACGCATGCGAACACAAATGTCAAAATCAGTCACTTGTGTGTTTGCTATCGTATAATAACAATTAAGGAAAATTGTTTTAACATAAACATTGCTTGATTCAAAATAGAAACAAAAAGGTAAGTAAAAATAATAAATGCAATTTAATATGTGAACAACAAATATATATTTTTTTATTTTCTCAATTCCAGCACGAAAAAATCATCAACTACACAGCTGCGGGTATATGGAGGAGAATCCTGTGTTCGCCAGAGGAGTGCCAATTTTTGGAAGCAGCAGAAGAAGTTTTAAATCGGGGCGGATTTGGGTAGTTCTGCAACCGGGCACCCACTTCTCTTCCATCATATCCAAAAGAGCCCGAAAACTTGCTTCGACACACGAAAATTGGCCACAAACCTAGAAAAATTATTTTTTATTATTTCAAAAATGTAAAAATACAATCATACTTACTGGTTGTTAGGTACTTCAAATAAATTCGAAGCATCTCTTAAATGCCTCCGTGGCACATTTTGAACCTCCTCCACATCATCCATAAAAAATAGGGCTACGGAAATATTCTTTTTTTTATTTTCTAAGAGCACAAATAGTTTGAACACAATCACTAGAAATTTTATTTTGTTTGTTTATTTACAATTTGTTTGTTTACAACTGAAATGTCAGCTGAGACAGAGCCACTGCTGCTTTTTCGCGTTTAAATTAGACATTTGGCGCTTTTTTTTGCCTTATTTCGCGATTAATTTTTCCAAAAAAATATTTAGCAACACTGAATCACGTAAGGCTATGCGAAAGAAAGAACGAAAGTTAGTGGAACGCATTCTTATACGAAAGTGAGTGAGTAGCCTTCGTTCGCACAAATTTTCTTTCGAGATCGTGGAACAGGCTGTTGAATTAACTAGACTCCAGTATGCCGTCGCCGACAACATTGCTCGACTTCGGTTTCAAATCATCAGCTGATGGTAACATTTCCCCATTTCTCATTCGTAAACAAAGCCAAATTGGCTTTGCAACGAGCATTTATTGCCCATTCTTTATTTTCTCCCTTTTCGTGTGGCGTTTTGAATACATTTCGGGGGAAAAAGTTAAATTTTTTATTACAACTACTTAAAAAATCAATTAAAAATGACAGATGGTTTGTTGTTGTCACTATATTGTAAATGAAATAATTAATATCATATTGTTTTTAGAGGAAATTATCAAGAAACGTCTCCTGATTGATGGAGATGGCACAGGCGACGACCGGCGTCTTAATATGCTGTTGAAACAGTTCCTGAAGTGGATGTATTCAAAGAACGATTCACCGGAAAACAAGTGAGTGTTGATCTTTTTTTTTTTCATTCTAATTTCATAGAAGGCCCATCGCTTCATTGACAACTTAAATTTGGTCATATTTGGTCAGGATATGTGTTAAATTGATAGCATTACCGTGCTTTAATTTCCACATCTACCAGCTGCATTCAAGAGACTTAACTCTAGCTTATTAAAAACTCTTCAATTTTTTCGATTTTTAACCCCAAAGCCCGGATTTAAGACCCCGACTGGAACCAGGTCCAATTACCCGACAAAGACAATATTGTAGCCGGTCTTCGGCCCGTTCTTTAGATTTTCTCCTCTGAGTATGTCCTACACCGGCTCACGCGAACTAAAGTTTTCTAAATTTAACACTTTTTGTAAATAGCCAGACTTCGGCCGGGGCTTGTGATTTTCTCTGATTATGTACAATACCGGCTAACATGAATCAAAGTTTTCTAAATTTGGTGCTTGTATCAAACGACGGCTACGCGAAATAAACCTTTTTTATTGAGAACATAATTTTAATAAACTGGTTAGAATCGGGTTATGCGGATGGAAAGACCCATATATCTGGACCCGAAAAAGGGATTAGCACAAATTGTAGAATTTTGGAAAGGTGTCAGCTATAATTTAGCATCAATTTTGTTGACCCCCATAATGGGCCATTTTTTGACTTTTTGGGGGTTTTTAAAAAAAACCGGGTCCAAGAAATCGATAATTTGACTATAATTTCAGAACTATAACCACTTACCCCATAATGTGACCACTTGTTGGATAGGTATTTTCATAAGCTAGTTTTCTGGAATCAGGCTAAAAATACCTACCTCTGGAAAATAACTTCGAAACAATCGAAGAGTTTTTACTAAACTAGAGTCGTTCCCACAGGGGTATCCATTGACTACAACGATTTTGTCAGGGCTGCTGTTTCAGATACGTATTGGTCTGGTCTGCCTGACAGGTCTTTGTTCAAGAGGCTGCTTTATATCTAAGAAGCACAATACATTATTTATGGCGATACTTGGTACACCTGTGCGGTAAGTTCTCCGTAGGTTGTTATTAGGAGCGTACGTGTTTTTAGCCTAATTTTGTAAATTTAAATCTAAAAACACTTCTTACTAATTGAAAAATATATATTGAATTATGAAATACTTGCATATGTGGAGGGTGACTCTCTGAACTCAACAACTGTATTCCTTTCGAACAATCCTGGACTTCGGCAAGTGTTTATTCAGTGCATTTTTCTAAATTATTGTCAATATTTAAAGAAGGGAGCTATTGAAACTATGCGTTTTTCGAAATAAACGTTAGTTCTGTGCTATTTAGTAATGTCCATCGTTAGGGACTCTATATTCTCTTCCGTTTCTTGGATAGAATATCAAACTTGCTTCCCTAAATACTAATTTTTAAACACTTGGACAATATGGCATAGGGGTTGCTAACCGACTGATTGATATTATTTTTACTTGGTCAGTTTGCGTCTTTCTAGTTCAGATTTTATCTGCAAAAAACTGAAGCGGAATGAAAAGCTTTGTATATGGTATTATTAGTGTATATAACTCCAAAATTTGCAGGTTATGTTCCCACATTCGCATAAAACCAATTTATTTTGGGTTCTAAACCATAGATTGTACATTGAAATTTTTCAAGACCCATCCACGTATTTGCGTTACTATTTACACAGGGTGAGATGAAAAAACTGGAACCAACTTCAGACTGCTGTCAGTTCTAAGCCACTCGCCCGACAGCTGTTAAAATTATTCAAGTGACAGCACATTATATTGTTTACAAACGTACAAAAGCATTTTGATGAAAATTTTCAGAAAAAAAGTTATTCGTGATGGAATTAGCCTTTGGACTGCTAAAGTAGCCTCAAAAGAATTTGTGGATAGTATTTGAAGGGTATACGATTTGAAGTATTTTATTCAAGTAATTTAGTAGTCCACGGGTAAAAATTTTAAATTATCAACGTTGGAACACATCATGGACTGCTGTAATACATATTATTTAATTTGCGATGGCCATTACTAAAAAAACATCCTCGCTTATTTATCAAATTAAGTCTTCCGAGGAAAAAAGTTTTGTTTTACTTTCTATGGACGAAATAATGAAATTTCATCGTTAACATTACATTTATTATCTTTTTGTCGATTATGGGTTCAATACGATAAATTTAGCCGCAAGCATCCATTCATTTGCATGAAATTCATTCATAGCTATAAGCCAACGACTACATTTAAGACAATTTCCCCATCTTTAATAACACAACATTTATCCCATTTTGCAAAAATTCTATAGCCAAATTATCTACGATCGCTTGATGGCCCAATTAGCCCAATGTCAGTTCGCTGCAGCCAAAACGGAACGAACCAGCCAAATGATTGACAAAGAATTGGAAAACTATCAGCAGCTATCACAGACCATTGAGAAAAACATTGAAGCAGCCAAACAGGAGATCGAAGAAAGCAAAAAAGAGCTAGTAACAGCCAAACAAATACGTAAAAATAAAATGGAATATGACCAATTGGCCAAGGTGATTAAACAGCAGCCGGATCGCAAGGAGACACAAAAACACATCGAATCATTACAAAAGGAGTTGGCCGAATTGAATGAAAAGAAAATGAAATTGGAACGTAAATTTGAAAAGAGACAAAAAGATTTTTCTGTTCTCATGTATGCAGTGCGTGAGCTGGAAGCTCAATTGGCGGAAGATAGTTCCAGTGATGAGGAAACTAGTAAAAGTGATGATGAAGAAATTGTCGGTTCAGGATCGAATAAATCAAATGTTATTAATTTAACCTTACTCGATGGTCTTAGTGATGATGAAGTTGAATCTGGATCGCAGTCTGGAAAAACTGGCCGTAGACGTGGTTTTATGGAACGTGATATTGTGGAGAAAATTGAAATCAAAGACGATGATGATGCCAAGAGCATCAAGGAGCTCATGTCCATAGATGAGGATGTTGTTCTGGAGTTGAGTATCGACAAGGATGATAATGATGTCAAAATGGATGACGTTGTTTTGTCATCTTAGTGGGCGGGATTGAATTTACAAACTAATTGTCCATAAGTTTAGTATTAGTGTGGTAAGCAAATATGTCATTTAAATAAAAAAAGAAGATTTACATAACGAATTTATTTAGGCAATAAAAATGTTTACGGCCCTAAACTTAGTTTTAGTTAAGGGTATATTTTTGTAAATCGATAAAGAAATGAATGCGAAAGAAAATACACATTTAAAATGGTTGATTCTAACGCATCCTCTTTCGTATCGGCATACAGAAACAGACCCTTTACATAAAGCTAATTTCAGGGACATTATATTTTTGGAATATTTTATCATAGCCCAATATTGCCGACGGATTTTATGAATTATTGTCACTTTTTATAGGTCTTTATCTGTAACGACAAATGTTGGTTTCTCACTAGCAAGATACTGAATATAGCATATAAACATGTTGCTAATACAATTTAACAAATCTAGCAATAATACGAAGGCTAGGTAATCCTTTGCTAAAATGATAACTTATTTTATATTCGGTATTTGAAATGATATGTGTGAAGATGAGTTAATTAAGTTATACGACCTACGAGATTTCTCTAGTCTCAACCCATCCCAGTTTTATTTATAGACTGTCTGAATCCTTTACATCTGGGAGCCATATCTTCAAGAATTCAAATAATTCAATTATACAAATCCGAAAGCTACCAAATCCATTCGATGTTCGATAGCCAAAAAAATTTCCATGGGATTTTCAGAGAAAATGAGCTCCGCTATATCACAGAGTCAAAGAACTGACAATAGAAGTAAAAAGATACGCTGAGTTAGACCTAATGGTTCATTAGGTTCAACCTATATATAAAAGAAAGGAATAGAGTGAGAGATATGTAGAGAAGAATTGAAAAATAGTACACAGAAATAGATTAGAGGTGAGGGTTGTAAATAAAATGTTATTATTCATGTTGGGATATTATCGTATCGTTTTAGTCACTTTTATTTCCTGACCAGGTGTAGAATAGTTGCTGGTTCTTTATCGTAGATGGAAGTCAAATCGGGGGTAATTTGTGCTCCCATAAGACTTACACCGAACAAAATCGGACAATTCCAAAGCAAATGTTCAAACGTTTCAGTCTCCTCATCATCCTGACAGAGCCTACAGTAGTCAGTGTAATTGCCGGCCCATTCGGAAATAATCAACCTTATGTTGCAGTGACCTGCTAGGATTCCTACCCCAGGATTAAATTTCGCCATGAGGATAAGCGACCTTTTGTACCCCGTAAATTAACCAGTTTTGTTGGATGCTCACGGAATAATATTTGTCTATCATTCGGAAGAAGTGACAGAGAAGTGGCTTTACTGTGTGGTCTACATTCATGTCGACGGATAAGAAACCGCGTCTTACTAGTCAAGGATGTCAAGGACCTCAACAAAGTTTGAAAGACCCGAATATGTATACACTGAGGTTGCAGCCGTTGGTCGAAACTGCGATGTTGTGGTTTCGGGTCAATCCGTTTGGTGTACGGACAAGAATATCTTGTTGACCTCTTATAACGCGATAGGTTGCACTCTGGTCAGCTATGCGACCTTAGTACGGCCTGTGAACAAAAGTGCTACGCAGAGGAAGAATTTTCAGATCTGCCAGAATGTTGCCCTCAAAACTGCGATAGGGTGTCGAGAACGTCCTTCCGGTACGTCAGCATAACCATATGCTTTCGTTGCACTACCTGCTTGAGTATTATCGTGGAAGTCATTCGAATTATAATATGGTGGATAAAACTCCCCAATCCAGGCGTGTCATGAAGGACGTGCACGATCTAGAGAGAGAAGTCCAATGATATTGATATTTACATGAAGCCTTTCAAATAGACCTGAACCATTCCATGCAGTCATAAATGCCACCAAGTACAGTATGAATGCCTTCCTCGGCATCCACCCATCCATTGCAGCTGAAGAACGTCTGGTGTTTTTAGTGCTAACCTTGCTTTCCAAATTCCTCCAGACACAATAGTCCAACGGATTGGTATCCGGAGATTTTGGTGGCCATTGTGCGCTGCATTTATTTTGATGCCACGGTCGATTAATACGATCGGAGAGCGACCATCGGCTGTTATGACGGCCCACACCATCACCATGGCCGGCGTTTGAGTTCTGTTGGTCAACCGAAGGAGCACATTTTTAGCTGACCTCTTTGGCAAGTAAACACGATCATTTTGTTTGTTTACAAACTGCTGGACAACAAATGTTTTCTCATCGGAGAAAACCAAATTCGACAGTTCACCACTTTCGGTCAAGCGAAGCAACTCGTTAGCTCTTTTGAGTCTATTTTCATTCTGTTGCGGTGTAAGTTCTTGCACTTTTTGGAATTTCAATGGCTTTACTCCGAGCTTATTTTTCAATATATGCCGAATGGAATATTGCGATATGTTCAGCGTTGACATTGGGCAACGCTACCAGTATCACGGTTACGAGCGATGGTACGAGACACAAAAGACAGCAGTAAGAAGTTGGTTGCAGTTTTTTCATCTCACCTTGTATATTCATTCATGATCAGCATAAAATTCTAAGTCGATTTAACGATGTCCGTCATTAAGTCTGTCTGTCTGTTGGTATCACAATACAGTCCACATCATACAGACTACAAAATTTGACACAACAATTTGCATTGTGTCTAGGGTGGTTGGTATTGAAAATGAGATATATCGGTTAACGTTTTTGTATGGCCCCCATATAAAGGTACCTTCCAATATTCGCTTTTTTGATAATTTTTGACACATTTTCCACGGATTTGTCTAAAAATTGGCATTTGTAGTTCGCAATGGGTTTTAGCTTCGGTGGCGGAACTTAGTATACATAGGTTCACTCCGGATATTCGGTGTCTTGATGATTTTTGCCACATTTTATCACGGATTTGTCCAGAATCGGTTCAGATTTGGATATAGCTCCCATATATAACTAATATTTGCCCAAATGGGATGGAATTTGGCACATGCGACCGAATTGAGTCTAGAAGGTAGTATGCCAAATTTGGTGAAGATCGGTTTAGATGTAGCTATAGCTCCCATATATATTGTTCGTCCGATTTGTTGTATTTGTTACCCACAGCCGTAATATGCACTCCGTAACAACGATATTCAGGGAAATATATCAAATACAGCTCGGAAATATCTTTGCCAAATTTTATCGAGATCTCATATATATCTTTATCTGATTCCAAATTAATTTTGAACCAAATGGGCAATACAAGTCCGAATTTAAAAGATACATATGCTTTGGCATATTTAGTCCTTTGAATTTTAAATTATAATTATAATCATAGCGTGTATGATTGAATTCTCCCATAAAAACTTTAAATTGTTATGTGGAGCTCAACTAAATTAGCAAAGTGGTGTAGGGTATCATAATATCGGCCCCGCCGGACTTTTGGACTTTCCTTACTGGTTTGTTTTTTTTTTTTGAAAAGTTTAACAGCTTTATCCGAACGGTTTTACTGATATTCGTAGTTTAAAGTGTAACACGTTTGAATTCAGATACCTTTATACAAATTTTTTTTCTTTACCCAATGGTGGAGGTGTTCAAATATTTACTGTTGTATTGCTTTGGCACTTCGAATAACTGAGTTTCATATGTAAATAAACGGTTCAAATTGAAATATTTACCAACGAGTAGTAGAATTACAACGAGTGGTACTCATTCGTTACTGTACGTTTGACATTTCTCACATTTGACAATCAGCTGCCGTAATTCGTAACAGCTGTTTGTTTATTTAATCGAAGGAGGAAAAAAAACTTATTGATTGTAGTGTGGTTCTGTTTGTGTTGTTTAATAATCAACTTCAAGTAAGTTTTCATGGATTTCCTCACAAATAATTTGCGGATTGTTAATTAGAACTCTTAAAATGTCATTCCCTTCTAATAGAATGGCTGCTGTCAAAACTTTACGCGGTTTATTGGCAGAACTTCGTGCCGCCTCTCCAAATGGCTGTATAAAGAACAACCTGGCCTCCCGTTACATTTTGGCTCAATACAAAAAATTCCAAACCACAGATCAACAACTGTGCAAGGCCCGCGATGAAGCTTTGTCTTTGGCACAGACCTATCAAACCTATTTGTCCAGCATTCGTAAATACAATGAACTGTACAAGGAGTTTCATGGCCGAGGCGAAAGAACTGTGCGAGAAACTGCCGATATGGTTGGTTTCAAATTGCCACATGACCCAAAGGACTAATGTGTGAGGGAGCAGTTTAAATTTGAGGCCGAAACTGTTTACATCGTATTGATAGATTATAGCTCATAGTTGTTGTGTTAAAGCGAATAAAAAATAAAATGTTGATTTAATCGAAATGGAAAGTCTTCAAATCGGATTTTAGTTAAATTTTGATCACACCGTGGGCCTTTTTGTTTGCAAGTCCGTTTGTGATTATTGAACATTATTTCTTTAGGTACCAAAAATTATTCATATACGTTTATTTGTATATATTCTAGAAGAGTGCGAAAAGAGTACTTTTTCGGAACGTTATCCCATTCAATGAATTTCTGAGAGCAAGTTGAGTTTATGCGTTATGCTCGGATCATTTTAAAATTTTAGCTACAAAAGTACCCACTTTTGTATCTAAGCATTTTTACGTCGATCGGGGATTTTAGTTTTTCTAAACATTTTAATTTTTGTAGTTAGCCGGTATTCGGCTTTTCTTCGCATTTTCTCCTCGGGGGTATGTTCAACACCGACTACGCGATCCATAGTTTTTCTAAACATTGTAATTTTTGTATGTAGTCGAAATTCGACTTTAAAGTCAATATCTTCGGAACTACAAAGCTATAAGGTTAGATATATATTAGTGGAGAAAATTCCAATTTCATGATTTGCAACACTAATGTCTACGGAACTACAAGAGATATCAATACCTATGGCACCATTTTGGAATGGGCAGGGTGTAGGCTATGTTTTTAATACCCCATAATGAGCCCATTTTCGACTTTTGGGTTTTTCGAAAAGTTCCGGTACAAAAACAATTTTTTGGATTTTTTCATTTTCCAAAAAGATCTACACGTGGTAAACATTTCAGGTCAATCTGACCCTAGCCCTAAACTCAACTTAAGCCGGAAAATAGCATAACACCATAACGATACGATGGTAACATACATCTGTGAAAACTTTGTCATACAAGGACGAATTGAGATATCCCAAATAATAAAACACACAATGTCCACCATTCATTTTTGTTCAGATTCCAACATGGTCTAGAATCCATTGGTTCTAAAAGAGTTGATATTGTTTTTAACATTTGATTCATGTATTTTTAGGATATTGGTATGTAAGGACGATTTTTGCTATTGAATGTAGAGAACTTCCCTTTTATAAAAAGATTCAAATAGCAACTGTCGATTTAAAATTTTAAGTGGTTTGAATTATTTCACTATTGTGCGGATTGTTTTCTCCAAACTCGTTTGGATCGGAATTTAAATTAATGTTGGAATGCCCTGTGTTAATTATGATACCAGTGAGTCTACGTCATCCTTGCCTTTATCATTTATATTAACAATATAATTTATGCAGCTGCATTAAATATAGTATGATTCGTTTTTAAAAATCTTTGATTTCTGAAATTTAACAACAACTCTGTCATTCGCATACATAGTTTTTCAACTGAGTTTGATGCTAGTGCTTCATAACAGAATTCTCGGGACAGTGCTGCAACCAGTACCGTCCGTCAACTATTTAAAAAGATTACCAAAAATTCTTAAGTCGTATTATTTGAGAGATAATTGGTCAATGCATTTGATCAGATATCATCTTAGCTATAGCCGCTCCAGGAATGCGTGCCAGGAACGATGTATTGTACACTTCGTACATGTACATAGTGAGATGAAAAAACTGCAACCAACTTCAGACTGCTGTCATTTCTAAGCCACTCGTCCGACAGCTGTTAAAATTGTTCCAGTGACAGCTCATTATATTGTTTGCAAGCGTACAAAAGCATTTTGGTGGAAATTTTCCAGGAAAAAAGTTATTCCTGATGGAATTCAAGCGTAATAGTGTGATTTCTTTATATTTGGCTGGAAAACCACAAGTGGCTATCGTTAGAGCACTCCAGTATTTAAATGTGAATAAATCTTTTGTGTCTCGTACCATCGCTCGTTACCGTCACGTCAAGAAAGTGGACGGAAATCGAAACAGCCACATCAGCAGAAATGGTTCGAAAAGTAAAGAAGCGACTTGATCGAAGCCCGGGTCGCAGTGGCCGAAAAATGGCTTGCGAACTGAACATATTGCAATGAACTTGGGGTAAATCCATTGAAATTCCAAAACGTTTAAGAACTTTCACCGCAACAGAATGAAAATAGACTCAAAGAGTTAAAGAATTGCTTCGTTTGGCCGAAAGTGGTGAACTGCCGAATTTGGTTTTCTTCTATGAGAAAACATCATCGTGTTAACTTGCCAAAGAGGTCAGCTGAAATGTTTACCTTCGGTTGGCCACTAGAACTCAAGCACAGAATAAATGTCGAATATTATCGCGAAATGTATTAAAGCCTTGGCACGCAAACATTTTGGCCGCAGACCTTGGACATTCCAATAGGACTCAGCACCATCGCACTCAGCACGCGCCACCCAAGAATGGTTACAAAATGAGGTTTCTCGCTTCATTTCCAGCGCACAATGACCACCAAAATCTCCGGATACCAATCCGTTGGACTATTGTGTCTGGAGTATTTTGGGAAGCATGGTTGGCACTGAAAAATACCAAAATGTCGATCACCTCAAGCAAGCTCTTCGCCGGGAATGAGCCAAAATACCGCAGAGCAACATTCGGGCAGCGTGTGACGGTTTCATTGGCCGTTTGAAGTTTATTTATCTCACGCTGTATATATCATTTAATACGGCCAAAACGTGCCTCATCAAAATAAAGGATTTAAACCCTCGGATGATGATGTAAAAATCCGAATGCCTTCAACGTCCACACTTCAAAAAATATTTTTAATTACTCAAGGTCTGGTGTAAAGATGAATGTATCGGTCCACTGCTTCCAGTACCTCCGCCACAAAGGGTCAAAATTTTGAATATTCATGAAGTTCATAAAAGGCGAAATGAACAGCCAACTCTATTCAGACTTGCCACGTCTAATTATTTCTATGAACACAAGATCGGACCATTCCTTCTGGTACCTCACCTACAAAAGGTCAAACTTTATTGAATAACCACAACGATATAGGCATCCGGGTCTCTTCATACTTCACACATCCCATTATTTCTACTAACACAAGATCTGCTGTAAAGATGGGATATATCGGTCCACTCCTTCTGGCACCTCAAAGGTTCAGAATTTTTGAATATCCATGAAACTAATGAAACGCGAAATTAACATCCGATTCCATTCATATTTCCATCAACACAAGATCTGTTATAAAGATCGAATGTGTCGGGCCATTTCTTCTGGTACCTCCCCCACATTGGGGTTAAGATTTGAAAAACAAAACGCTAAAAGAAAGCGAAATAAGCATCCAAACATTTTTACTTACACGACATCTATTGTGAATTGATATATATCTGCGAACCCCGTCTAGTACCTCACCCACAAAGGATCACAATTTTCACAATACTTTAAAATGTCATAACTTGTGAATAAGCCTCTCTCAACCAGAAACCTGGGATAAATATGAATTTACGATTGAAATTGGATATAAAGGTTCGATTTTCTTGTAATTTTGGCCATACCAATATTTTTATCTGTATTAGATGAAGTATGAAGGATGAAGGGAATACTTCCGTCGACTATATATCTGGCACCTCACGCATATTTTAACATCATCTAGTAATTATCACACATTTCATACATAATGGAGGAAGTAACCAATGTAGTCTAAAGCTGGCACGTTGCACTATTTATATCAGATTTATTTAGGACCGATACGAAATGGACAATATTGACCCATTCCCTCGGAACCTACCTAGAAGTCAAAATATATTTAAATAATCGAACACTGGCTGAGGGTAAACCGACTGATACTTTTTAACTTTTTTAACCTTTCTCGGCCTACCAGTTTTTAGAACTTTATTCTGTTAATTGGACCCCTTTTCGGGGTTTTCGAATATAGAAGACCGTTTAAAAAATAATGTTCTTCAAGTCATATACGTTTTTTATTAACCGCTTGACCACCATTTATCCAAATCAATTAGCTTTCTCGTATAAAAGTGAAAATAAATTGATTTTTTCATTCTTATCGCCAAGCGATCATCATCGTCATCATAAAAGCCATAACCAGCCGAACCATAATAATTACAGAAAAATAATTCTTTAACAACCAATAAAAAGTGAAGAAAGAAAATAAACGAAGAACAAATTAAATGAAATCATAAAGTGAAAATTGTCGCTGAATTGGGTGGTGGAGTGAAAAGATGATGATGATGACGACAACGACGGTTGCTTGCATTGATATGGGAGGGGAGGTATTCGTTTATATGTGGTGCATTAAAGTGACTCTTCTCCTCATCGTCTGGTCTTGGGGAGCTTCATTCATTTCTATATAAATCCCACTTTTGCAATTTCCACATTATGGAAAGGAGTGGGGGTAAGGAGAATTTGTTAAAAGATCTCTTCTCTCTTTGAAAGCAAATGTACATCAAGTTTATGACTTGTCATTTGTGTCAATTTCCAGTCAAGAAAGATACTTCTTTCCGCCTTAGCGCAGAACAACTCAAAGCGATGAAGAAAATAAGCAAAATATCTTTAATCGAATGAATGAGCAACGTCAGGCTGACTGACTCTGTATGTCGCCATAAACCAATTCTGTGCGTATGGGAGAGTAGTTTTTTCTTCATTCGAGATGGAGCAGAAGAATGAATTTTGGTGCCTTGCATGAACTTTTTCATCAATTTCTTTATAATTTATTCCACGAATATAAATGCTTTCAATTAAAAGATGTCTTTCTGTAGAAATGCGATAAAAGACATAAGAAAAAAGCAACGGAGAAACAATGAAAAGGGTAATAAAATCATCAATGACTTGAGAACTAAGTAATGTTTGCCATGTACTGTGGATTTTTATAATTATGGCAAGTAAATTATTGCGATAGAACCATTAGAATATTAAAGAAGGCCAAATTCATTATTATTTTAATAAAGAAAATGTGGAAAGATATACATAAATGATTTAATAGATGCAAACTATTTAAATAATTTTGAAATTGTTCAAAATTAAAGATGTACCAATATTCTTGGAGTTTATTTAAAAATATATAAATTAAAGGATTCATTGAGACCATGGTCGACAAGTTTTCAGTATGGTGGGAACATACATTATTATCTACAACATTCCTATATCAATATTCTGTGCAACTACTTAAAAACATTA